AGTTAAAATACATGCCTCTAATCATGTTAATGTTTTGTGAAGTTATTTTAGCCTATAAGCATTGCACGATATTTGTGCAATTTTAAGAAATTTGTTGAAATATCTTTTGATTATCTTTGCAACTGACTAGGTAGTCCATGAAGTTATATTTATAGTCCTCTTTGGAGTACTTAACTACTAGATTCGGCATTTGGTGGTTTTGATTCTCGACAGATTTTTTTGGTGGAAAACGTAGAGCTCCTCCAAAAATTAGTTGAGTTGACTAAAAGACTGTTGCTAAGTACCCTTTCTATCCATTTATCTTGGTTGGCAAATCCATGGTTTCAAGGTAATGCTTACAAAAAATTTCAGTTCTAGAACAAAGGCATTTTGTGACAGGATCATCCAAAGTATTGCTAATAATAACCTTAAAAGTGAATCCATGCTTTATCCAATCTACTAAAATCTTAGAAAAAATGGCATCTTTGGTTCATTTCCGTGAAAGTTGTATCTGAAATAACTCAAATTTAGGGTGAATTAACAAAAGAATTGTATAACGATGTCGTATGGGAATCAATGTTAGTAAGATTAATTGTGTTACTGCTTACTTTGTTTGTTACTTCTTTTTACAATAACGGAAAATTAGAAATACCATTAAACTCATTATTATATGTCATACTTCCATGTGAATGCTATTATGAAAAAAGGATATGTATAGTAGCAAAATTGAGAAGAAAGAATACGAAAAAGAAGTATAGACACCAAGTTGAAGGCCTTTAATACATTTTTTTTGGCAAAATGTGCAAGAATGTGTAGGTTCAACTGCATGGTTGTTGGTGTGGAAGACATTGGCACTTCTGCTGTAATTCATTTGGGGTACCTGCTGTTGTATATTAGACACATGGTTATTTCAAAAGTCAAAGATTTGCAATCTTGGTGTTAATTTGTTCACATTGAAATCTCATATATTTACTTTCTTTAAATTTATATTTATTTCCCCAAAATGGCTATTGACCCAATTACTTTCACATGTGCTAAATAAGTGGGTTGATTCCCACTCAATCATTCAGCCGTTGGAGCCTTAATTGGCTCAATGAAAGGGATCCTTCCCTTTTTTCTTTATCTTGGGCAGCCTATTATATAAAGGTTTCACGGGACAAGGCAAAGGTACAACAAGCAAACCTTTTCTTCTTCTTGTTCTGCACACAGAAGACATCCTAAGCCAAAGACATCAGCTTTTCTTTAGCCAAAATACTGAAGCCTTCTTCTTTGGTTTTCACAAAAATTATTTCTTCATTAGTTTTTTCAATAATTTTAACTAGTGGGCTAATCCAGTTCAAGTTGTTCCTGGCTCCTCACATTATGAGTGCACGTTTGCGAGAAGCGGTCATTGTATCTTGGAGGGTAGTCGCCATTGTCCTGCTGCACCGAGTTTCGTACTCCGAGAGACGAAATTTATCCTTAAGAACAGTGATTATTCACGCCTTGACCAATAAATTTCTTTGATCTCTCTTTATTATTGACGCACACAAGTGACCAGAAAGTTGTATGTTATTTTTTCGTATTTTTTATCCCCTCAAATCATACATGTGTTTCATGGTCACTTTTTAAGCATAAAAAAGATATTCTACTTAACAAAACTACTGACGGGTGCTAATTACTTAGGAATGAAGTTTTCGAATCCGTGACGCTCTCTAGAGTAGTACACAATGTAAGTTCCGGAGAGGAAAAACAGTGCTTCTATTTATGAAATATGTTCATCTATTGAGCCCGTAATGGTTTTATCTCTGTTATATGAACTATTGAATGCATGAATCATCTGAATCTATGAAAACTTGAAATTGGTCAATTAGGTTCTCTTTGTCCGAATAAGCCTATTTTTTTTTATTAAACGAGTTGACGAAGATCAGAATTTTTTTTTTTCCTTCAAAATCCGAGTCTCCTTGTTAATGAACATGCTGATTTTCAACTTTATGCATGTTGTGACCTTTTGTTCCATGGGTGATAGGGCTTAGTTTCCTGCATCGGTTTTTTCGTGCTTCCTTCATTACGATTATGACAAAGGTTTTCAGATCTTACTGAACTCGGCATATAGAGTCACTAGCTCACTTAGTATAACTAAAGGTGATGTGGGCTTCAACTGAATATAGAGATGGACACAAGCATAGAATCGAGAAGCAACTAACAGTGTAAAACTCATTGATTTTGGTTATATTTTTGTATATTGACTTTCTAACGCCTAATTTGACTCAAACTCATCCTCTAATCCTAGCTATCTCTTACTTTCACTCTATTTCAATGTTATTCTCCAAATATGTCTCATCTTTCACTATTTACTGAAGTACCAAAACCATGGACACTCCTTTGCGTTTGGCTGCTACAATAATTTTCATTGACGAGGTTTTTGTTTTTCGTTCCTAGCTATGGAGGTAAGACTACGATCGTACATTTCTTGGAGTGAATTTTGTTACTCTGCTCCTTCATTTATATTTTGCTTCTCCATACATCCTGTCATATTTTTAAGTTGCTTCAATATTGAAAAATAAACTTAAAAATGAAAAGAAAAAAAAATTATAATACAAAATGATTTATGTGCAACGCTTGTGTGCGTCAACTAGTATATATATATATATATATATATTACTACTTCTAAATGTACGTGCGTTAAAAAAAATTTTGGTTGACTCTTTTACCCTCAAATATCACTTAAATATCAAACTACCATCCACCAGAATAAATTTTTTCTTTAGCATATAGCAAATTCATTTATAGAGACTTTTCATCTCTCTTTTTTTTTCTCAGTAAGGGCATTAAATCCAAATTCATATACTAACTAAAGAAAAAACGTAAAATTCATTATTAATCACACATGATTTCTTGTCTTTTTGTATCCCAAACTGTCAATCATCTGTTCATTTCTTTCTTATCCATTCAACTTCCTTATTCATTTCTTTCTTATCCATTCAACTTTCTTATCACTTTACGTGCACAAAAATTAAACAAGCAATTTGGAATAATCAAAATTACTTTGTTTTAATTAGTCACCCTATGACTTTCTATATTCTCTTCATCTTCTTCATAATTTTTTGTATATATATTGTGTCATTCATAGAGATTTCACTCCTACCATTAACCACTCTCTACACACCTAAAACCTAATAACAATATCCACCACTTTCTCAAATCCATGTTCACCCACTCCATCACAATGTTTCATAGTCACACTATCCTACAGTAAGATGCAACAAAAAGGTACGTTTCTCAACAATTTGAAGTTCGTAGATTAAGCAACCCCTGGGGCTTGGTCTAAGTGCTACCGTCGAATGTCTCTCCCACTCACCTTGACAACCATTATATATACACTCTTTTCCTCACTTAGCTTATGCATGTAATTCGAATAAAATTGTATTAACATATTTTATCCATTCATCCAAATAATAAAATGTCAAAAAATTAACTTCATTGGCATGTAAAAATGAAGTTGATGAAGTTTATTATTTGGACTATGCAATATTTAAGATTATATAATGTTTAATTGAGGTGATTATGATGCTTGTATACAATGAAATGTTGTTTTTTATTAATTGGTATATATTTGTTCTAGACTTTTCAATCATTGAGGAGCAAATTCATCTTTCACATGAGGAGGTTATTGATTTTCTGGTTTTTAGAGTTGATTAGTATGGTTTTTTTTATTTTTTTTGAATTGAATTTATGCTCCTCCTGGTAAAATAAAATTCATGACTTGTTATTGAAATTCTGGTCTAACCTGATTTTGATAACACTTATTTGGTTTGGTCCATAAAATTGTTGGGTGTATTATGGTACCGCTCATCATTTGTTGGTGTCTATACCATTTATGGGGTAGAGTTTTTTTAACTTTTTGGAATGTATTGACTTTTTAGATTTCCTTACCATCTTTTCAAGGGGGCCATTCCTCCCCCCTCCCCCTCCCCCTCCCTCCTTAAAATTTTAAAAATTGTCATTATTCCTCCTATATTTTTAAAAAAGTTTATTGTTAATCACTAACTTTTCAAAAATACCCAATGTATAAGCATCTCACTCTAGTATATTCAAAAAGATCAATGACTTAATATTTAGTAATCATTTAAAATGTGATGTAATCACATGCATGAGTGTCGTTTGTACTAACAAATATACTTATTGAATTATTTTGATGATGTAGAGAAAAAATAAGTGATTTTTTTTATAAAAAAAATAGGTATACAAATATGGTTTATATCAAAAAACATTGATTGACTTATAATTCATTTTTATTAGGGTATTATATGAAACTATTATTTGTAACCATGATTTATTTATAGACATAAGGTTATATTATAAACAAGAAAAAAAAGGAGATTATCACAAATGAATTTTTATGATGGCAAGAATCACTTTTAATTTTTGTGCTCAAAAGTATTTTTTTTTGATTTTGTTGCTTAAAAATTAAATTTAATAGAGTTTTTATAAATAAAAATTTATCATTGACAATGATCACTGAATAAACCTATTCAATTAAATTTTTGTCTATGTTGTTAGTCCTCCTCAAGATAAAATCTTGGTTCCGTCCCGCCATCTTTTTAATTCACTTACCATATTTTGTGGTAAAATATTGTTTTTTTGAGTTAAAGGTTACAACATTATACGATTTTTTTTAAATGTAAAAGCTTACCACTTCTTACGCGGTATTAAAAATATAAAGAACAATGTTATTGGAATATAATTTAGAGATATAAAACATTTTAACCAATAGAGTGATACTGAAATGCATTTAATGCTGTAATGGGTTTCTCTATCACTTCATTAGTCACAATATATTACATTCTCAAATTATGTCATAATAGCATTAGTGAAATATAAATCCGCACTACAGTGTTATCCCTACGGTGATTGAAAGGTGGAGAACAAAATTTCCAAACTAACAAGGTTGGGGTCAAAGTAAGAATTGAGTAAAACTTTAAGGGATCAAAATGTAATTAAAGCTAAACATTCAAGAAGGCCCTGATCTCCCTCAATTTCTAATAGACATTTGTTTTCTGGACAGTATCAACCTTACAATTCTGCTCCAAATAACTGCATAATTTAACACACACCAAAAAAAAAATAATAATAATATTTCCGTCGAGGCCTACGTACATGATGGTGAGGGTGGACTTTAATCGCAACGAGAATAAGTAGTCACGGATTTGAGTCACATAATCTACTTAGTACATAAAGTAAAATAAGGTATATCTGACCTTCTCAGAACTACACAATAACACGAGCTTGGAGTGGCCTCTGTACCTGGCGGCGGTGTTTCGATGATGGTCTCCAACGCAGGCCTCCATGATCTTTGCCTTGAATACCTCTCAGCCAGCTCCGGTACTCTCGCCGGAGAGTCGACAGTTTTGTCTTCTGAAGGAGGGAACAAGCAAAAATCACCAAGAACTGGAAAAATTCTAGCCAAGTTCAAGCTTCCTTGTTTCAGTGCCTTGGAGGCCTTGTCTGTAAGAGTGATCTTCTCTTCATTGGTTAGTACTGAATAAAGCATTTCCATTGGAAGAAGAAAATACAGTTGCCGGCGCTCTAGGTCGTCGTCGGCCGAGAGTCCTGGAATCCGGTGACCAACTTTCAGGTGGCCGGAGTCACAGATAAATCTTCCAGGGTTTTCCAGCATGAGTTCAGCTGCTTTTACTGGCCTTGTGTAGATTTCCAGTGTTCCATCAGACGACAAGACCTTTACTACACCATAAGAGATTATGGAAGGGGCACATGATGCTACATTACCCATGAGAGAGAGAGAGAGTTGGATACTTGGCCAGAGGAGGGACCTGAAGTTGATGTGAGAGTTAGTTAAGAATGAATAACCTTCTGCATGCAAGATGAATATAAGAGAGAGAGAGGGAGAGAGAGAGGGTTTGGTGGTTATCTATTATTAATTGTATGATTATCTATTATTAATTGTATGATTTAATGAGTTACTCCAATTGTTTTTTCCAAGTATATGTAATGAGACATTTTCCAGTAAATAAACTTTAAGGGGCTTATCAAAGTATTAACTAAAAGGGAGGTTCATGGATTTTGGGGCAAAGAACATTTAATGGGATGAAGTTGCACTGAAATTTTGAAGCATGGACTAATGGGCACTAGGTTAGTAAATGAATCGGATTATAATCCAAATTTAATTAGTCAGATTGAGATTGGTATTTTCAACTAATTATTTAAATTAAAATTTGAATTTGTTATATTATAATAATTCACTGATTCATATTTGTATATACTAATATTCTGTTCAATTTGATTATGATTTTATCTAAGTATTTTTTAAATATATATAAAAAATTCAATTTAGTAATAATTTGACAATTGTGAGTTTAAATTTTTATGTAAACCGGAAAAAAATTGACTCTAATTAAGTTGTTCATTTTGAATTTTATTTTTGAACATAAAAGGATTCAAATATGAATGTTTTATCCGTTCTTTTGCTTCGTATCCGAGTAGCTAGATTATAAGAAATGGTAGTAGCCGCTAGATATTCTAATCGATTCAAAATTTGGAATGATCCAAATTCAATTTGTTGACATGATTAATGTGCAAAAATGCATAGAAGTTGTTTTTGTCTCAAAATCACAATAGTATTTTTCACTTATATAGCTTATGGGTAAATTGCATGGAGAATCAATGCACACATAGGTCATCCTAGTGTACACACACAATTTCCAATTTGTTTATTTGGGTGAGCACATGGTTGAGGCATGTCCCAAGACTTGAGCAATGTAGAAGACTCACATAAGGACACCACCAAACTAATGATATGACATGGTAACAAGCAATTTCTTTAATTGATAGTGATACTATATTCAGCTGCTCACCTAAACACTTCACAGAGAGAGAGAGAGAGAGAGAGAGAGAGAGAGAGAGAGAGAGAGAGAGAGAGAGAGCATGTACATATCTCATAAAGCTGCAATGAAAATATAGTATCTGAGATGAGTAGCTGTACAGGCAATATTGGAGTATCATATTCTGGCTAGCTATGGGGTTCACACCCTCTTATGCTAGCTTGCTAAATATTCCACAATCCTTGTCATGGTTATATCATCAATTGGGTAAATTATATTTTGAAACCCTCAACAATCACCTCAATCTCACTGGATCCCATGAAAAATTTGATTTTTCATATTGCCAGTCAATATCTTTTTGACAATAATTGTCCATGTTTCGAGGTAAAGTAAAATAAAATTGCACCGTTCGAGACAAATTGAAATAATTTTTCGTCAAAATTGTAAGGACTTTAATTATTGGAGACTATATAAAACTAAAAACTATAGTTGAAAGTGCAATGTGAGGAACATGATAATCGAGGGGACAATGCAAGATGGGGGTCATAGTTAAGTGGATCAAACTCTAATTTTCCCTAATCTATTTTACAGATTACTTTAAAGTTTATGTACTCTAATCATTGGGGAAAGCCCTTACTGGCTATTGCCAATTCAGACAAATAACAATCCAATATAGATAATTTTTTTAGGGTAAATTACAATGACATCCCTCAAACTATCACCTTTTTATTACTTTGCTCCTTCAATTACTAGATTTCTCATATTACACCCTCAATTATGTGACTAGTTTCACATTTCCCTAATTATTAACATCTGTTACATATTTAACGCAAATTTATTTCATTTTGCCCCCAAACTATGTCATTTTTTTTCATTTTACTCCAACTAATTAGTAATTTTCATCCAAAAAGATAACAAAACGTTTGTGATTGTACAAGTTTAAACCTATAAGAAAGGGTCACCCTAGTTAACAATGCATCTTAATTATATGGAACATTATCTAATCTATGTTTTTTTATTTCATTTCACCCTCTAAACTATTGATTTGAACACATTGCACCTGTAACTATTCATATTACGAAACTTGGTATAAATTTTTTTAACTTTAGTCTATGGCGTCTATTTTCTTTCCAAAATCAAATCGTTTTGTGGAAAATATCATGAATTTGAATAGTTGCGGGCGTAATGTGTTCATTCAGTAGTTAATGACACAAAATGAAAGTGTAAGTGGGTAAAGTGTAATTAACCATTATTAATTGATTAGGTTTAACTCAAAACTTCTGGTGGTTGATGTAGTCAGAGAGACACTAAGAAATTCTTGCTGCATATTGGTTGTTGTTAATCATTGGATTGATAGGATTTTTGTCAATGAGGAATCTTAGACTAATTCAATCATTACAGCTTAAAGAATGGTTTTTGTTTATTAATTTAGATTAAAAGGAAAGAAATTGAAAGCCCCATGTTGTTTGTTATATTGCTGGCAAGAGGCTTGACATAGTCTAGGTATACAGAGTTTGAGACATTCTGAATACTAGTAATGTCTGCACCTAAAACTTCAACGATATTACAAATGAGAGATTCACGAGAAAAAAAAAGTGGGTATACTTGGATCGTGCATAAAAATGCTTTTGAATTTCTTACACAAAATAATGAATAACGAATTAATTGAAATGTACATAAAGATGTCTCTGAGTTTACGTTACATTGTATCTATCTAGGTACTTAGAGTTGTGAGAGATGTCCTTCTATTTAATGTGCCGTTATATGTAGTGGCGGATCCACACTGGGGCCAACTGTCTCTAATGGAATTTTAAAAAATTTTGTGGAGTAAGTATAATTTCAAAAATTTTAGAATTTATTAGAGATTTGCCCCTACCAAATTTTTTTAAAAATATTTAAAGGTAATTATGTTACTTTGAAAAATGTATGGGTCTCAATTATAAACTTCGAAAAGATTTAAAGATAATTATGTTAGATGATATAAAAAATTTGGGGATTTAAAGATTAATTAATATGTTGTAAAATAAGTTATCCTTCTCCTCTTTTTTATGTTTATATGTTAAACTAAATTTGAAGCTTGTAGTCTTCTTCTATGTTTTATGTTTATATGTTAGAATTGAAAATTTGGGCAAGGTTTATTTTTTACATGTTAAATTGAAATTATGGCTTGTGGCCCTTTGTTGTATTTTATTTGTCACATGTTGAATTGAAAATATGAAATTAAGACTTGTATTCATCTCTTGTATTTTATTTTTTATGTATTAAATTAGAACCGGGGTTTGCAGTCTTCTATTTACTATATTATGTTGAAATAAAATTAGGACTTGTAGTTCTCTACTACATTTTTTTTTATATATTTAATTGGTATTTAGGCTTGTAATTCTCTATAGTGTTTTATTTTTATATGTTGAATTGGAATTGAAATTTATAGTCCTCTCATTTGTTTTATTTTTATTTATTGAATTGAAATTGGGGTTTGTAGTCCTCCATCATAGTTAGACTAAATTGATTTCATGTGGTGGTTTGAATAATTTTATTGTGATAAGTTAAGCAATTCCAATACTTAGGTTTAGTTTAATAGAATGATCATTTTTTTTTTTTGGTCAATGATCATAGTTTAAGTTAGTTTCGATTATTTATTAAAATTCAATGATGGATACTAAGTTTGGGACTGAACAAATTAATTTTTGAATTAATTACGAAAAAATGTCTTAAAATTCAATGTATGATTGAGCCCAATTTTTTTGTTTAATTTTTTTATTAGGTCTTATAGATAAATTTATAATAAATTTTTTTATTGATTCTTTTTGTATATTACTCATGCATAGGAGTTACGCCTTTAATTGGTGTTATTTTCTTTTATGGACATTTGAAATTTTAATATTAATATAATATAGACCGTCCCCAGTACAAAAAATGTCTGACTTTGGCCCAAGTCTGTGAGACAGGCACATCATATAAATAGATGTTCCTTTTTTTTTTTTTCTTTTTTCTTTCTCATTTTTAATTTGTGTATGGAAGATTATTAGAAAGAAATATATATTTGGCCACTAAATTTGTCGTATAATTTCGTTGGAAATTATGGTAAGATCAAATTAAGATACTTAAAGATAAAAGAGGTGAATTATATTTTGTATTTTTAAAGATTTTAATATTCTCATTTCAAAATTTTAATTTTTTTTATTTCTTTTTTAATGTATAAAAAATGTTATAATGTTATATTTCTGTTAATTTTTGTATCAGAGTCAATGCGTTGACTTTTGATAAAAAAAAATGAAAGTTAACAAAAAAGTTGTAGTATAATACCTTTAATATATTGAGGGTATAATATAAAAATTTAATCTTTGAGGGTAAAAGTAAAAATTTAAAATTTTTTGGGACATGCTCAAGATAAAATTTTAAGAATGAATTATGATATTTATCATATTATTTTTGGTAATAATGAAAAAGGTCTAAAAATATCTAAATGGATTACAGCCAGAGAGATACTGTTGGAGGCGAAAGGTCTGGAGCCACTCACACTCTCTTCTCTTCGCGGGAGAAACGAACTCTCAGAGATACATCTCAGGTAGGTCACATTTCCAAACTTTTCTCTTTCTTACTGTTCATACAACACCGCTAATTCAACTTTCTCATGCTTTTTTTTTTTTTTTTTCTTATTTCAATCTTTCATATGTACAGTTCAGAGTGTAGAAGAAACGACTACAATTAATGGCCTCTGTGAATATAAATGGCAGCATTTTATGCAAAAGGAGGACGATTCCTTTGGTGGGTAATTCATCTCTTCCGTTTTTGCAACCGAGGTCCAGAGATATTCAAAGTTCCATGAATGGTTGGTTGGCTAATTTCTTGTTTCCAAGTGTCTTTTTAAATTATAATCAATTTATTATGGATTATAAATTACAATAAGCTGCTGTCTTCATCAAATTAGGAATTTATTTTAGTGGATTGTGACATAGTTTGTTGAAATATTTGTTTTTTGGTAGAGTAATCAAAATTTGCTATGGAGAAGTAGTGATGGAGTGTTCCAAAAAGGAGTAGTGATGGAGATGAAAAAGACTAATTATAACCCTTTACGAAAAATTGGATTAATCATGTCCGTTTACAACTGATCCTATTAGTTTTCTTTTTTAAAATTGTTGCATCATAACTTTATTTTAATGTCATTGAAATACATTTCTCTATGGACATAGTTATTAGATGATGAGCCTAATCTTTATATGGTACCAAAATCTTCTCATAATTTTCTTTTTAATTTACAAGATGACCTCAATATGTCCAAAACTCATTCTAAAGAGTTGGAAACTTGTCCAAAAATTAGTTCTAAATACGTATGAATGTAATAATCGGTACAAATAGGGTGGGCATAACTAATATTACTTACAAATTTACTAAAAGTATAGTTTAAAAATGTTAAGGGATAAGGGTCCTTTACCGTCTCTGCCAGTGGCTGCATGGAAAATAGAGTTGAGGCCAATAGGGTTGCTTTTTGAATTAATTTTCTCATATCTGGGCGTCATAGGATCAACATTTTAATAGTATTATTAAGACTATACATATGTTACAACAGTTTTTAGAATATTAAAGTATATATTTATGTTGTACCCCATCATAAAAAGAACTTAAGGAGTTGGTGACTCCACTTCATTTGATACACCACACAGTCATCAGAGATGGAATTTGAAGGAGGTTATTTCAATGGTTCCAACTCTCCGCTTAAGAGGAAATAGGAGGAGGAGAATTCGTTAAACAATATCTTGGCCAAAAGTAGCATGTTAAAGCATCTAACTAAAAACGAAGTGGTAATGGGTGGAGAGGATTAGAGGCTCATATAATAGTTTTAGAGTTGTTAGTAAACCGATTTGCACATATGACCCAACTTACTCTTGGAGAGGTAGACAAAAATCCAACGAATATGATCAGAATATAATAAGGTAAACTTTTGAAAGGAATAAAGGAGGAATTAATGATCAAAAAATCAAAAATATTGCTCAAAAGCCTCTGGTGGCCTGGCTCAGGTATTAAGCACATATATTTATGTTACACCCTTTGTATCAATTTGAAATTATAATTTGGTAGCTAAACATTGTATCAGAGTAGGAGGTCTTGTGTTCAAATTTTGCCACTACTTCGATTATTATGAGACTTACACGTGCTTAGCCCAAAATTTGTCTATATCAAATGGTGTGTAACAGCATCATCTAAGTTAGGCCACTCGAGAGGAGGGGATTGATAAATACTTATGTTTTATCCTTATTTACAAGTTTTTAGAGCAGTTGGTGTTTAACAAGTACCATTAGGAGTGTTATTCATGGCTTTTGTCCCACGACTTCCACCACAATTGGTGTTTAACAAGTTTTGTTGATAGTCTCCTTACGTATAACTTGGGGAAATTTTTTGGGGTCCCCCTAATCCATGGATAACAAATTTCTATGAAATAATTGAAGAAGTTCAATCCAGGATTCCTGATGGAGAGCAAGTATCTTTCCATGGCTGGCAGATTGCCCTGATTAACTGTATCTCTGGGATTCGTTCACACCATAAAAACATGAAAGCTTCCTTTTCTTTCTTTTTTTTTTTTGTGTTTTTGATTTTTTCGGTTTACACATATCCTTTCCGGTAGTCACTTGAGAGAGACTCATGACCAACTTAATAGACAATTTCTTGGGGTGAGTATGATAGTAAGAAGAAAATTGATTCCACTTGAGGGTATACCATATGTCAACCCCAGTCATTTAGTGGTTTGTGTGTAAAACCCGCAAAGCATTTCAGTCATGCTATTCCACCTAAAGTAGGTTTTTTGTGCTAAATATAAGTTGAGATCAAGGAAAAAGGATTACAAAGAGAGCAAATCAAGCACGAGGATTGGTACACAGCCCGAAGGCCATACAGAGTAATTAACCAACTAGTCTAAAACGCTTAAAAACATCTCATAGAGAATAGGTAGACACAGACACAAAGGAAAAGAGGAATTCTTCCCACAATCCATGTTGCAAGATACTCAAAGTACCAGTCAGTGGTCACATCAAAGTAGGTTGAAGACTGCTGAAATCATTTTAGTCCAAATTAGAGTTGCAGAGTTACTTATTATCTTTGGGGAAGAAATTTGTGTGCATATTGGCTAGCTTTGATGTGCAATGATGTTCCTATTGGAATTGAGATCCACCAGCCTGCATAGCAGAGACTTGAAAAGGCTCCCCCCCGGGGAGGGGTTGCTGTTCCTCGTGCTTTTCTTTTGTTTTTCCTTTCTTTGGCACCAAAAAGAAAATTATTATGTAAATACATTGGGTGACTTGCATTATAAATGTACTAGTACATCTAAGCGTTCTTGATAATGCTGATACACGTCAATTTGACATATAGAAAAGTAAAAGAGATATTATTCTTTAAGTCATCATAGTGCAACTTTTTAGTTCGTAATTATAGGGTTAATAACATTAGGAAATTCATGAGATTTTGCACAAAGACACTTCTATTGTCGTGTAGGAGGACTTCTAATGCAAGTCTTATTTGTTTGTTTGTTGTTTGAAGACCATGCCTTTCTAACGTTGCTTAACATTTTCTTCGTTTCTTCTTCTTCTTCTCTTCCTTCGGTGGCCGACTATTTAATTTTTCTTTGAACTTGCTATATTACAGAGGGATTTATCCGTCAAAGCTTATTTAGAAAGGAAACCACTCCATTTCCAAGGAATGCATCTCACAACATGAGAGCCAAGAAAGAGATCGTTACAGTCCCCAGGAGCAGTCCCTCAAACTCCACTGGCAGCACAGAAGAATCTTCTGACCAGATCAAGGTAGGTGTAGGCAATTCCTGATGAATAAATAAGTAATAATTTCTTTCTTCTGCTCCCTGCTGCATATGAAGTCTGCCTACTACCTTCTCTTGTTATTGGCTAGAAGTAATGTTGATTTAAGATTTTTTACTATGGAACTGATGTGTAAAACTTATGAACGAACATTTTGCATTGTAGTCCAATATGGACTGGCTTTAAATTTAAAATGTTGCCTTTTAAACTTGTAAATTACTGTACACCAAAATATTGGGTACTGCTGATAAACTTGTATCTCTCGCTCTTTTAAAAGGGGCTCCCTGCACCCCGCCCCCCCAGTGGGGGAGTTGCTGTGTGGGATTAGTGATCATATTATGGGTATGAAGTGATCCCACATTGGTACTTGTAGTTTACATTTTCACTTAAATTTCTGGATATTGCCTGCCGCTTGTTTACTCTGCACAAAAGAATTATGTTTTATGGTTGACCAAATCAGAAATCGATTTTTACCATTTTGCCTTGCTTGACTAGGTGATACTTTTGAGTTTCATGGATTTGGTATATTAAGGCAGTTTTTATGTCTTTGTTTTTTTTATCTTTTATGTTTGCCTACAATGCTGACTGCCAAATAGCATTTCTTTTGTGCTCTGCAGCATTATTTGCATGATGTGTAATGCCATTGAATTTCAGATGGTTCTAACAACAATATTTTATCATAGCAAGTACTCAACCAAAAACCATATTATAATGAAGAAGTGATTACCCCAGTAACTTTATCAAACCTATGTGTCATAATATCCCCAAAAAGACAAGTTTACTTGCTCTAGTCTTGTATTAGTATGGAGTTAACTGAAGCTTCACCTTTTTTAGTTAAAAGTTCCCTAGTTGCCCACATAAAGACTAAAGCTGTCATCAATTATGGGTTGTAGACTGTAGCCTTACTGACCTGGATATATCAAGTTATATCTTTCGACATGTTTCGGCAGGTACCATTTGGATACTCGAGGAAGGATGTTCTATTGATTGGACTTGGAGTGACTATTGCTGGCTATGGCCTAAAAACAGGACTGGAGGTACTCTGTGTGTGTGTGTGCACTGCATTCTTGCTCTGTACTTTGTTCATGTGGAGGAATAGTCGAATTCAGTTTTATTTTTGTGTTGGGTTGATTTTCTGGGTTTTATACTGTAGTCTGTAAGTTTTTTCTTTCTTTTGTTCTCATGGTCACAGTGAAGAATGCATTTTTTATTGCCTATTACACAGCAATCTTTATCTACAATATTATCGAATATGTGCCCGGTTAAAAGTAGATTATGATCATTAATGCATATGAACTCAATACTATCTGCGGATTAGATACACTGCATCAAGATTGTTGACAGCGTGTTGTTACATTTTGATGGCTTGTGCAGTTCATTGGAGTTGATCCCTTACAGGCTGGGAATGTTGTTCAGTTGGTCCTAGTCTTGGGTCTAACAGTGGGATGGATTTCAACATACATCTTTAGAGTATCAAACAAGGAAATGACATATGCTCAGCAATTACGTGACTATGAAGACAAAGTCATGCAGGTGTAGTCATTTGAATTGCAAATCAATGAAAATTTGTGTTGCTTGAAAAGCAGTGCATGTTATATTCTTTGTTTATTCAGTAAAATAAAAAATTCTCAATTCATTCAGGTGCCTGACATTGAAGGGGAACTCATTTCATTTATTTTGTGCAATGATTACAATGACAGTACATTGATTTTGGTGGGAACCTGGATTGGCTATTTGTGATGTATTGACTGCAAAAAAAGGGGAAAAAAAAAAGAATTTCTTTGTCTAATGCTTCGTTCTCAACATTTATCGTACTTATTCATGACCTTTTTGGTCTGGGCTTAGAATAGACTTTCATGGGGCTTAGGCTTTAGGTTTGGACAATATCATAGATATGTACAATATATGTGGTCTTCCTTATGGGTGGGGCCGAAATTCATTGATTTATTGATGTTATGCTATAACCAAGTCGTGGACCCTTCAAAGATTGAACAATTTCAGGGTGCAATGTAAAAGTTAGTCTTTGAGTGAGTGAATTGAAAATTTGAAAAGAAATTCAGGGGATAAATACCATTCAGCCTTTGTCTTGACTAATCTTTGCATTTAATTCTTTTATCTTTTGCTGCCTTCTTTTTAAGCTATTGTATTTCCTTCACCCAGTGTATTGTCGAACACTATGAGACTGCGAGTTTTTAGTAACATTTCCTGGATATAGTTTTCTGTGACACGTGATTGAGCCTAATTCAAATATTTTTTCTGATTTTCTAGAAGCGTTTGGAGGGCTTAACAGAGGCAGAGTTGGAAGCATTGCTTGAACAAGTCGAGGAAGAAAAGAGACGCGTGACTAGTGGTGAGCAAATTAACTAAAGCTCACATGTCATGTCCTTTATGTCCACTTCAATACTCCTTCAGTAATAGAAGCAGAAATCTCTATGTATATATTACATTACTACTAGTACACAAAGTACCACTATGCTTGCCCCAGCTGAAGTTGCCCAAGGAAAAAGGGCCATAATGCCAAATCTTTGCTATTTTTGATGAGCCTTCTGTGAAGTATCTTAAGTTGTTAGCAAGAACTTCTTTATTTAGCTTTGGTAAAGCAATGTTCAAAGGCTTACTAATTGTCATGAATTCAGTGAAAGGTGCATAGGTCCATACTAACAAATTTAGGACTCCAAATCACGAGGGGGAAATATACATCAAAGATCAATTGTCCAAGCTCAACGCATGTTTGTCCGTGCTTCAATTACTGATCTCTTTCCCATTTTGAATTGTTTGAGTACTATTTATGGTAAATCCACGTCTGCACATGGTACTTTTATGTTGTCATGAACTAGCCACGCGACTGAACTCTCACACCATGACTGTGATTTCCCCTCTGTGGTGTACTAAGCTCTACACCATATGCTAGCTGGTCTCTGCATTGTATGGGTGGTTGCTGTATGCTATCTGCAGCTGCAGTCTCTTCTTGTGCCGTCTATCTAGACAATCAAAGACATTGTCATTGCATTTCTTTTCTCATTACAATCAAACACACATAGTCGACTTTGCAGTGTACAGGTTTGTCTTGAAATTCCTTCTTCCTTTCTTATAACTGCAAAAGGGCGTTTTGATTTGGGGTCTGATTTAGGGTTACATGATTGCATAACATGTGGATTTTATTTGAATTATTTCTGAAGTTCAAAGAGTATTCTTATTGTACTGGTTTGATTCTGTTCTGACTAGTCGGAGTTCGTCAGATATGGCAAGAGTTGTAAATCGAGGCAGCATTGAGTTAACCTAGTCTCGTGATATTTGCGTGCCATGTATCTCTCGTTATTGGATTGGATGAAGAATCAAAATCGTATCAAAATCAACTATACTTCGAATCTTGGATAAGGTTGACCAAACTCTTGTCCATTCCTTTACCATACGTTCAATAATAGGACTTGACTATGGTACCAGAAAAAAAAAATGGGTACCATATTTATAATTTTTATTATTTTAATGGGGTGATCTTATTGGAAAGGGTGCAACACCGATGGATGTCGTAAGTACCACAAAAGTGATAAAAAATAGTTAATATAATAGGAATAAAAATATTCACAAAAATAATAAATATTGGATTAGATCCGATTGATTCGGGTGGTGGGAACCCTACATTATACCAACATTTTTTCAGTTCTGTGAAAATCTAGGTGTATATGTCTATATAGTTATACTATTTATGAAAAGGATGAACTTGCAAGTAATTAAAAAATAAAAAAAGATAACTATTGTTGAAGAATGAATAAAAAATAAAAAATAAAAAACTTAATTGTTCAATAATTTATGGACTCATCGTGATATAGACCATAGAAAAGGATATTTTATTTTTCTTAAAATGAATATATTGTGATGTCATCTACTATTTGAATAGTCAGAGACAATAATTAATGGCAATTGATGTAAAATGATGCATTGAAGTTTCATATAATAGACGGGAGTCCTTCAAGATTTGGCAAAAATGTTTTAAAAACGTTTTAATCGTTTTTGAAAAAAAAAAAAAAAAATTAATTTTTAAAAATATTAGTTGAAATATACCAAAATATTTTAAAACATTCTAAAATAATTATTCAAATATATTGAAATATTATAAAACCTCTCGAAATATTTTAAAACATCTGAAAATATTAGAATTTTGATTCCATTATTAATTTATTTCTATCTCTTTAAAAATGAAAATGTTATGGACGATTCGAAATAAAATTTTGATCTTGGATTAATACAATGGATAACTAAATGGGTTACAAGTAAAGCTATTAAATACAATTAATTTGTATTTAATTTTAACAAGTTCAAGTAATAAAATAAATAGACGTGTTTTACTCCTTAGATAAATGAGTTGATATAAGCTTAATTAAGTACGACACAAACTTGTTAAATATAATTTATAAATAAATTATGGAAGACATAAATTCAATTATATATTATTATAATTAATTAATTATAAATTAAATAAATTTTAATATAATACACACGACCATTGAGAGCTATGGTTATGAATTATAAACTACACAGACACATATGATTGAACTTAATTATCAAACCACAGCCTTTCAAAAAAACAAATTATCAAACCACAGGATCCATATTGGAAACGGTCAAAACCACAGGCTCCTTATTGATCCAAACCCATAGAGGACGACCGGAAGGTGCAATTACTAAATAGTCCAAAAACGTGTCCGGGTCCCATTTCTGGGGTGTGCACGTTAGTCTACGTGTCACCAAATCTCTCAAGACTCTAACCCAATCATTACGCACACCCTTAATCCAATCATTAAACCACCACCTGGCTTTCTCTCTTCTCAGGCATGGCGGTTTCTCTCCTCACCATTCCCCCAAAACTCCCTTTCTCTCTCTAAATTTTCCCCCTCTCTCTCTACATACGCGTGTGTAGATCACCGTGAATTCTTATTTGTTGATTCTCTCTCTCTCTAGTTCCATGTCAATTTTAATGATTTTCTCTCTCTCCCTCTGATAAAACCGGAATTTTCAGCCTTATGGCGATCGTTACTGGGGACAGATACCTTGAATCCCTACTGAAATTCGTCGAAAACCAAGCGGGACCGTTAATTGAAAGAACCCTAGTGCTGAAGTTGAACCCTGTGGGCCTCCACTACGTGCACTCGAGGCTGGAAGCCTTGGCGGAGCTCGAAAGCCTTCTGGCCGGCGCTCCGGTGGATTATTTGCGTGCTTACGTTTCAGACCTCGGCGACCACCGAGCTTTGGAGCAGCTCCGGCGGATTTTGAGGTTGCTGACGTCATTGAAGGTGATCTCAGTTTTGCCACCACCGGCGAGGGACCCCACGCCGTTGTCGTTGCTGCCGTTTGGGCGGTTGAGGGTTTTGGAGATTAGAGGGTGTGATTTGTCGACGTCGGCCGCCAGAGGATTGCTGGAGCTGAGGCATACCTTGGAGAAGTTGATATGTCACGATTCTACTGTGAGTTCTGTTTATAAATTTGTGGTTTAATTACTGTTTGGTTGATGAGAAAATTGAGAATTCGAAGCTTATGCTTGCATATTTTTTGTTAGGACAACTAATTGCAGGCAAGTATAACCTATACAAATTCTTTTACCTAATTTCAGTAGCATGGAAAAATAACAGTGAGATTTTCAGCAAAATTAATTAACTTTTAGCACTAGATTTCACCAAATGCAATAAATATCACCTATATTTTGGAAAATACATCTAATTTAAAAATAATTAGCATCCTCAACCAAATTCAACACCATAGTTCAGTAGAAACTGTAAAAAGATTCCTAAACAGAGTCAGAATGAAGAAGGATAGGGATAATAGAGAGGGACGCTAGAGCAAAGTATATATTTTTGGAGTCGGATAGAGGTATATTTTTCAAAGCCAAAGGCTAATTTCACAAGGTTAGAGGCTTATTAAACCAAAAAAGGAGGTTTTTTTTTATTTAAAAAAAAGGTTTATTTCACGAAATGAGAAGTTAGTTTAAAAAAAAAAAAAGAAAGAAAAATGGGAGAGACAACGGAATGAAAAAGGAAATGGTAGAAGTCAATGGTCCAAAACAAATACTTGTACTTGGACTGCAAAGTTCGGTAGTGTTTAAGGTTAGAATCCAATATTTATAGTTGGTTTTCTAATTTGGTGTTATGCATATCAAAAATATTCAAATCGAAGTTTATATATCAATAATCTTAAATATATCACTGAAGGGAGAAAAAAAATCCACACCTTGTGCACTTTGGGTTTATGTCGTAGGCAAGCGTCTCTTGCACCTCGATTGTGCCTCAATGAAGTCCCTTAACCCTTACCTCAGGCTCATTAAGGTGTTTCGGTGCACCTCACCTTGTCTCGAGCCCATGGGAGCACCTAGGCACGCTTTTCAATACACAACTTTGCGTTGTTTTGGGAAGATTATAGTAAATTCTATATTTAGTAACGTAAACAACTCAGTTGCACACAATTAACTTGAGATATTTGTTTCCAAATGTATAATAAATGTGAAAATGATAATTGGATGTGATTTAATTTTTGATGGATGGTGATCAAATTTGAGGAGAACATAGAAAATGACTATGTTGTGCTTTGAGTTTTCTTTGGTTGATTTTGAAATAATTGAAAATTTTAGAATATATAACCCTAATAGTACTATACGCAACTAAGTGGAGGTCTTTGTTTGTGTTAGAATAGAAAATCTTAGTTAAAAGTTATTGATTTTTCCATTGACTAAGTGGAGGTCTTTGTTTGTTAATTGTGATAGAATAGAAATTCTTAGTTACAAGTTATTGATTTTTCCATTGACTTCTACTTCATAGATACCAAGTGCAATTGATTGCTCAATTTAATTCCAAATTTCCTTTGATGGTGTTGGATTGCAATTACTCACTGTCACATTATAAATGGTTTTGAAGGGGTTCACAAATTATTTATTTCTAGACAAGTTTTCAAGTTATGCTGTTGCTTTATGCAATTTATGTTTATATTATAGATGATCCATAATCAGCTATTGAAGGTCAGAACATTTGATGTTCTGTTGGTTTTTCTCTGTGTTGATTCAGGATGCACTAAGGCATGTGTTTGCTAGTAGAATTGCGGAGATAAGGAACTGTCCTCAATGGAACCGGCTAGCATTTGTTTCTTGTGCTTGTAATGGATTGGTTCTCATGGATGAATCTTTGCAACTTCTTCCTGTTGTCGAAACCCTTGATCTGAGTAGAAACAAGTTCGCAAAGGTGGATAATCTTCGGAAGTGTACAAAATTGAAGCACCTGGATATTGGTTTCAATCACCTGAGAACAATTTCATCATTTGGTGAGGTAAATTAAAACTAGTTAGACTCCTGATTATATCTGTTCTCCATGGTCGTGAATTTGTTGCTTGAATGCTTGGGATACTTAAAAGATGCATGGCACATTCCTCAAACATCTATCAAACAAAAAAGGATGCTTAGAGTAGTCCTAAACACTTCTAAATTTATTTTGTTACTTATTGCTTGTACAAGTCCTAGTTAGTCTACATACTGATGTTGAAATTTGGGAAACCCAGAATCTTACCAGTCAATACTGTATATCGCCATGATCCACAATTGGTGGCTTCAACAATAATTTGAAAGTCCTGGCAGATAGTAAATTTTTGAAGCTGAATATAGGAGTCAACAATTTGGCCTGGAGGTGGAGTGACCATGGTCTTAACTTGAGAATGAAGGAGATCAGTTCGAGTATAACTTTGTAACACTTCAACAATCTATTTTATGTCTTCCCATTTGCTGCCGTGTGTAATTTTAATTATAATTCAGACGAGTATATCAAGAAGGTCTGCCAAAAAGAATACCTGTTTGAAATTTTGAATAATATGGTAGTTTTAAATAATGCTTGATATTGATAGTCCTTGAAGCAAGAGACCCTTGAGTGAAAATCTGATGAAGCCCTAGTGAGTTTCCCTGCAATCATAGTTTTTCGTTGAAGAATCTTTTCGTACTTCTTATGAAAACTGACTGATGACCATTTAACAGAAAGAACTTCCCTGCAGTCAAAGTTTGTCATTGAAGATTATTTTCATACCCCTTGTGAATATTGGCTGATGGTGGTATACTTATAAATTATAATATAGTTCTTTACTCTTAAGCATCCCATCTCAGGGATCAAGCCCCTAAACTCACCAAAGTTGGGAGGTTTTACTGATGTTAGACAACAACTACTACTTTCACGAAATAAATGGATCTAATTATTATCAATTCAAATTTTTTTTGAATTGGTGGGTTTAATTATGACAATTCAAGCAAAAGCTAATTCTAAGGGAGCCTTTTATGATTGATCAATTTATGGGGCATAGAAGCAATAACATTCAGAATTTTATATAAAAAATATATCTTGGAGTCTCGTAAAGCGTTATGGATGCATTGTTGAGGCTTAGGAGATGTTAAGAAAAACATTTGCTTCAGTCTCCATAAGATTAAAAAATGACAGTTAAAGTGTTTACTAAAAATTAAACTCTAATGCATACATCTTTAGATTGAAATGGCACAAGTTTTTTTAAAGTCAATTCCACAATGTGAGCAAATGGCATAATTTATGTCATAAATGGAAGATTGTGCCCTACCCAGTCTAGAATTCAGATATCTGTGACCTCCTCAGGCTGAGTTGGAATCCCTCTCAATGTAAGCTTGTAAAGAATTGATGTAGTCTGTAGTGCAAGAGAAGGTTAATGATGGAAGGTTACTTTTTTTCTTTATAAGAAATGAGATTTATTCAGTCAAAATGATGCAAAGGTTATCAGTGGACTTATACTGGTGTTGAGTAGACAATTGGCTAGGCTTCCTCTCTGTGTAGATGGGCACCCAAGACCCAACAGCTGCTTGGCTTAGAACAAAAGAGAGCAGTATAACTGTTGGGATCACACCACAAAGCTTAGCTTTAACCAGGTAGATGCAAAGGACAATCTAAGGGTGGATACTATGAAGTCAACCAAGAAGTTAACATGCATTAGGCATCAGATTGACAACTTGTTCACTGGCTCATATTTTGTTAATTGGTATCCCTTATACCAAGCTATTTTTGTGACCATAAATATGTTTTGAGTTGAGGTTTTTTTAATTATGTTCCAGTAACATGATTGGTTTCTGCTCTGAATTTTTTATTTAAGAATTTGCTTTGGACCCATGCGTGGAATTTGTTGGTGCAGATCTCCTGTCAAATTGTTAACCTTGTTTTGAGGAACAATGCTCTAACTACGTTATGTGGCATTGAGAATCTGAAGTCACTAGAGGGGCTTGATCTTTCCTACAATATAATTTCCAGTTTTTCAGAGATGGAGATCCTTGCAGGCCTGCCATTTCTGCGGGGCTTGTGGTTGGAAGGAAATCCATTGTGTTGCGCACGATGGTACCGAGCACAAGTGTTCAGTTTTTTTCCACATCCAGATAAAGTAAGTTGTGGTAGATGCTTGTCTTCAACTTTTGTTTAATTTGTCCTATGAAGTTGTCTTCGCCAGAGTTACAATTGAATTTCTTCCCTTATTGTTTTTTCAAGCTTCATACTCTTAAATTTACATTGCTGTCTTTTCTATTGTGTGGTCAGTTGAAATTAGATGACAAGCACATCTGCACGTCTGAGCTTTGGAAGCGAGAAATTGTTGTTGCCAGCAGGCAGAAACGACCTGTTAGCTTTGGGTTCTATTCACCAGCAAAAAGTGATGCCACCTTAGCGTGGAGTATCAATACAAAGAGGGTAGGTGATTCTTCAAGTCTATTGAGAGGTTATATGCTTCAATATCATTTTTTGATGATCTTCTCAAACATTGTCTATGGTTTCTATGCGGAAAGTTCTTCCTGTACTGAATTTACTCCAGAAATTTTGTGTTTGTGTTTTTGTAGAAAAAACCGTGTCGTCTCGCTAGTATTGAGAGTGAAGAGCAGAGCACGTGTATATGTTCTGATGAAGAATCAGTGTCATGTGACAATGAGGTTCATAGTAGAGTGGAGAACATTGTTTCAGATTCGGAAGCTGAAATAGTTGGCCTGATGAATAGAATTGAATTTATGAAAAAGGAGCATTCCCTTCTATGGTTGCACGAGGTTAAAGATTGGATGAATCAAGCATCTGATAACCTTGCTGATATTAGTAGATATAGTGGGGCCATATTGAATACTAATGGGGACAGCAATCTGAAAAACAAGATGAACTGTCTGCATCTTGGCAAGACATCAAGATATAGATCTGACGTGGTTCAACCTTCTGGAGGTGAGAGTAGTACAAATGTTCTAGAATCTGATAATTCCTTTTCAGATATGTCTATTGGTTTCAATGCTCAACAATACTCTGATCGAATTGGTGAAGTTGCATCAAAGTTCTTCATGGGGCATAGTGGTGGGGACTCTGTGTCTGACACTGAAAGAATCGGTCTGAATCACGAGCATACAAAATCGTACAATACTGGACAGGATCAACGTCTGAAAGTGAGAAACTCCTTTGCAGTCCCGGAAGGTTATAGGATAGGTGCACCAAACAGTGGCACACCTTTGACTGCTATTGATGATATTATGGATTCTTATACATCTTCACCTTGCCCTGGATCACCTCCACATTATCAAGAGGAAATCCTGCATCGTCGCCAAAACTTGGAGGAAGAATTTCTGCAGCTATCTGCAGAATCCTATTCAGTGGCATCTTCTGATAGTGATACTAGCTGTAATGAAGAAGATTCTGCTGACTTGGGGCCATTCATTCCCCTGGTTGATCAATCAGTGATTGACAAGTTTACCGAGAGGAGTGTGGATGGCAACTTGCCTTTACTTCATTCTGATGATCCATACATTGACAATAGGCATGAGGTTTCACAGTTAACAGAAAATGGCATTCATTTATTGAATTCCTGTGCTCAAGGAAACTCTGATACAATGGGACTTGGAAAGCCAGACAGCTCCCTGCAATTGTCTGGAAATAGTTTTCCTGCTGGTGTGCTTGACGGTGAAATTGTACATTTTGTAGAGCAGGAGGCTGACTGGTTTGAGAAGAAAAAAAGCAAGAGGAAACCTAAAAGAAGAGTTATTTCAATATTGGAGGAGAATAATGCAAATGAGGAAACAGAATAATCACAGGAGTTAAACGGCAGTCTGGAGATTTGGAGAGATGCTGTAGAAGCTGAACGAAGAAAATATGGTTTTCAAGGTAGTGGTTTGTGGAAGTTTGTTTGTCAAAGATTTACTTGGAAAGTGCAATTACAACATCACTTACTTCCAATGGTGGAAATTCTTTCTGGAGCAAAATCATCGTCTCAGAAAGCAGATGATTTTTATGAGAATTACATCAATTCAAATGTTGCAGATTCTAGAGTTCAGGAATGCTTGAGGGGCAAAGGTGCAGAGAAAGGTGATTTTTTCTGTGTTTTTATGGTAATTAATTTTTTTATGTTATCGATTCTAGCCGGCTTTTTTTTTTTTTTTTTTAAATGGATGCCTGCTGCTGGAAACATTCTTGCATTATTGGCTCTGTGGTTAGCAGAAATTAAATGTATTTGTTAAGTATCTGCATAAAATTCTGATTCTCAGTCCTGAATGCACATACAATCTAGTTGGGTTGGGTAATGTATAACCGGAGTATATCAACATTTTGTCCTTCTTGTCTACCATTGTTGACTTTTGTCGAATAAATCATTCTTAGTTACTCTTTTTCTTTTTGTTAACTTTGGGCTAATGACCGTGAGGTTGTGGCTTTGAATGTGAGTGCAGTTTTTGTCAGTGGATAAATAATACCAGTGGTTAGATCTGTAACTAGTTCACCACTCCTAGCACCCTTTTGATAAATTGGGTAATAGCCTTTCATTTATTTATTTCCATCTCTTCGTGTATGCTAAATATAGATGTGATAGATTCAGTTCAATCCTGTTATTCATGATTTCATTAGCATTGTCTATTATTACTTTCAAAATTAGAACATTACTATATATTTAATATGGTGGATGTTATGGTGTTGTTTTGGTGTAGTGGTTAAAATCTTAGTACACACGGAAATAAATCTATATATGCATAGTTTTTTCATTAAATTTAAATTTTGGTGGGTAATTTTGAAGTGCTGGTGTGTGTTTATATCTGTATTTACATGTACTAAAGCAAATGAAGTTCATTATCAGGTCATTGAAGCACCCACCAAGAGAAGAAAAACCAGGTTCAGATCAACTAAAGTGGAAGTTCAAGTGATTTTGTGAAGAAAGCCTCTTCAAATTTGTGGCATTGCAGCAGCGGCAACCTCTCCTTTTCTTGTAAGTTTTATATCGGAAAAAGCAGTCAATTTCTGTTTTCGTTTGTTTCATATTCATTTAATTCTTTGATCTGAGCATCTATACCATATGGGTTGTTTTCCTTTGCAAGTGTGGTAAAGTCCATAGCTAGCTTGGTTTGTATTCTTTGATTTGTTTGTTTTTGAGAGTTCACCTTCTTTGTATAAATAAATTGTACAGTGTAAAACACCAAAATTATATGTTAGATAGTGATTGATAACATTTTGTTTTGTGTTCAGATTTCAATTTATTTTGCTTTCGACTTTGTTTTCAGTTTTTTCTAAACAAAAAAACATGTGTTGGTTCTGTCCAGAAAAAAAGGGGGTTCTATTCTGTATTGCTCAAATAGGGAACTCTTCAGCACCATACGCTGGTTCAGCCCTTACGTTTTTTAGTTAATCTCTTCGGAGACCAAGGAAATAGGATCATTGAGGCCAAAACTTTGGGTAAAGAAGTATGTTCCCGGTTCTTGATAAAAACACACTTGCTGCCCGTGGAAAGACCATGCTCAAGCCAAAGTGCATATTGAAGAACAAAAATTATTACTTTACGGGAAAAAAATATATATATTATTTTAAAAATACTTTCAAGAAGCAAAAAAAATAAAAATTTAAGGCCAAGATTGACTTCTCCGATCATTTCCAAGTTGGCCCCATCTACCTACATTAAAACCCAACCCAATCCATTGCATTGTTTTATATCATTAACAGGAAAGTAACTTGACCAAAATTGACAAAACTGGAAATCGAGAGAATTAAGGATCAATCGATCGACTTCCCCCAAACAGGCGAAAGTCCTACTGCAAGCATGTACCTATTTCAAAACCCAACCCAAGGCCCACGCACTTGAAACAAGAAATGGGCTTGTTGAAGCTGCTGCTTTAATAGTACTCCGACTAAAGCCATCCAAACTAGGGCTCTATATACCCCTCTATATATACTCAGAACTACCTTGCTCCCCTTTGCACTCCCATGTACTATCGGACGAGCTCAGATCTCTGACTCTTTCTCTCTCTCTCACACGCACGCACACACACACACACACACACACACACACACACGCAACGCAGTGTAGATTTGTGGTGAGAGAAGCTTACAAGGCAATCCTATGCGTCGCTGGTGCGCTTCGCCAGAATTTCGGTGAGATTAGCGCATTCTCAGCCCTTTTAATTGCCGATATGTGTCTGAGTGGTATATGCTTGCATTCGTCGTTTCTGTATACGGCTGGTGCACTAATATGCTCGTACATTTCCAAAACTTTCAGTTCTTCATCCTTTTTTTCCTCATTTCATTTCAAAGTTCATAGCTCTCTCTCTCTGTTTTTGGTGGCTCTTTCCATGGAGTTCTTTTATTAGTTTTTTTTTTTTTGTAGAATTTGTGATTATTGAAGTGGTATTATGTTTCTCGGTGATGAACTATTCGATGACGAGTCCGATTACATTCCATTCTTGTAGATACTGACGACAAATCGAGGCATTTGTCTGAGAGAAACGCCGTACCACTTCTATTTCCCTCCGCAGCCACTTCTTTGTTTATTACTTTCTTTTTCAAAAGGCCGATCAATTGATCTTTTTCAAAGGCGTAATGAGACTAAATGGAACAACATGTGTTAAAATGTAGACGTTTGAATGTGATTAACAAGTAATATACGCAACAAGATACTTCATGAATGTGTATTTGAATGTAAATAATATTAATGTAAATTAACCTATTATATACTATTGAAAGCAGAACTAATATTATTAGATGTAATACACAAAATCCCAAATCGTAATGGACAAAAATAAAGAAGAATTTTCATAAGGTATTCCTATGAAAAACTCATTAAAAAAATATCAAATATATAACAAATTTTAATAAAGAGTAGTGTTATGTATTTCAAATTTGTATTCTAAATCAAAGAGGAGGGTTATTGGATTAGTGGGTCTTATTAATTTTTTTATTTAAATGGGACGTATTGATCTAATGGTTCTCTTGATTTGGGATACAAATTTAGGATACATATCATTATTCTTTAATAAAATGTTCAAATTAGTGTTTTGCTTTTACTTCTATATGGGTAAAACCTTAAAAATGAGAATAATGACGTGTTAGTAACGATTAAAATATTGTTTCGAAATGATTGAAGTATTTAAAATATTTTTGTTTTCAAAAAGATCAAAACGAATCAAGGAATTAAAATTAGCATTAATTAGAATAGGCTATTAATAGCCTATTCTAATTCTAAAGAATTAAATTTAAATATATTTAGCCCAAAATATCCTTAAATATATCGGCCAAGTATATTTGTAAGGAAAAAATTAATCGAGATATGTGTAAATTAATTCAAACATTTTTAACAGTTGAATAAATAATAATAAAAAAAAAATCTTTGCCCCGATCTTAAATGGATTGGTTGCGTATGATGTACTAAACATGTCCAAATTTGAAAAATACACTTATCCAGCAATAGGGAACATATATCCAGTCATACACGCACAAATCGAGAAATGCACAAATCGAGAAATAATCCAAATTTTTTACCAATAGACATTTAGTTTAATAGTACTCTTTATCTTGTAAAAGTTTAGTCCTCTTGAGATCAAGGATTCAAGTGCCCCTTCCCCCTCTCCTCTCCCTCTCCCTCTCCCTCTCCATCCCCAAAAAAAAGACAGAATTTCAAGATTTTCAACCATAAGGAATTCAAAGAACTGTACAACTTGATTGAACAGTAACACATCTGCACAGACCAGGAGGCATAAAAAAAACAAAGAGCTACTGGAAAACGACCAATCTCACTTTTTAATAAGATATTTAACCATTTTTCAAGATAGGAAATGATGAGAGGTTTCGAATATTCTCACTGATAACAAAAGAAATCTAGTAAGGACCGACCCACTTATTTGCCAAAGAAAATCCTATTTACAACGTCCACGGGCAATGCATAAGCCGGATCTATGGGTTTCAATCCTGGATATTCAAGATGTGAAAGGCCTGCATATACACGAAAAACAAAAAGTTTGGTTAAATTTATGACATTGAGAAATTGGCAATAGAAACTAACACATCAGCATGGAGATTTCAATGAAGGTTGCCAATTTCCAGGAAAAGAAAAAAAGATGGTTTGCCAACTCTATGATGCCACCTCGGCGGAAAGGGGGCATCAGAACCTATTGACATTAGAAGACAAAAAAGCCACCTAACAACAAAAAGATGGGTGAAGGGGAAGAAGTCAGCGAGAACTTTAAAGGGGAGAAAGGGCGGTAGAAAAGATGAAGGGATAAAAAAGCAGAAGCCACGATCTATCCCACTAAACAAAAACAATATAGTCTAATGGCAAGCAAAAGAATTGCTAGTTCTGGACATAGATTTCAGATCAGCAGCCACAAAAGTCTCCTCCAAAGGCCTTAAACTTATCAAAAGGAAAACATATATGTAGTTTCCAATCGACATTCTAACATGAACATACACTATCACCTGCCATTGCAGTGTTACATGAACATTTATCTTAATAGGATCACCCATCACATGTCAGATGCTCTGGAGGGTGAAAATGAATCAACTCTTACCAGCAACTCCAAAATAGGTATGATAGACATCAACAGCGTCATCAGGCCTATCTGAAATTCCTCCATTCTCCTTATCCTACATTTTTTAAAGAACATCACAAATGATTCTGAACTTCAACATCTAGAAGAAAAGAAATAGTGCCATCATCCTAGATTTTACTAAAGTAAATTTCAAAATGAAAGTGACTTGAGTTCAAAATTGACCTGACAGTCCAATATAAATCTGACAAGTTTTTCCTTGTCAATCCAATGAGCTCGATCAATCATTATCAAGCTTGATAGAACCCACCAAGAATAGCAGACCTGAAACAACGCAAAAGGACCATTAGTGAGGAGCATCACACAAATATTTCATTAGTCCCCACCTTAGGGAAGAACAACCCACATCAGGAAGTTTCTCAGGACGCCCATTTAGACCTCCAGATTTAACTTGTCGTTCACACAACCACCAGCCAAGGAGGTCCTTATCAACATGATGTAGAGATCCAGTTATGGCAAGAGCCCCCACACAACAGAAAACTACAGTCATAATGGATATATGGTCAGTAAAGAAGACAGACATTCCCACAAATGTAAAAGATCAAGCTGGTTATTTAGTGACTGAAGAACCTCCTGACAGTGTGGTACAAGATCTTCACCACATTAAAGATGCTTCAGCATACTTCCGCAAACATTGCATAACCAATCAATTACATAGCAGAGTGATTGCATTGCTTTCAGTTGGGTTTTGTTTTAAATGCAGAAGAAAGCATAACAAAAACATATTTTCAGCTGGGTCTTGTTGGAGGTTCAAGTGCCTCAACGGGCCTAAGGCAACACGACTTCGTGAAGGCGTGCGCCTCAGGCTTAAGCCCAGGGACGCATGACTACATGAGGCAGAGTACTTGTATTTCCTGGTGATACATTTTGCATCATCATCATATTAGGACACCAACTACAAATATCTAATTTTAACGGTAAACCATACAAGGGAATCTCATAGATCCAGTCTAATCCACTAGTATAAATACCTATTCTGGATCATGATCTCTTACTATGTCTATTTCATCTACATCTTCTCTCTTTTCCTACGTCTCTCTCATTCTTTTCTCCCTCTCTCTTGAATCTCTTTGATTCCTCCTTCTCTTGCCCTCTATTTTTTCTTTCTTCCATTTTTTTAGTAAATTCGACCCCTGATTTACTAAAACCAATCTCTATTGTCAAACAATAAACCTCCTTTTTTTGTTCAATAGCCCTTTATACTGTGAAATTAGCTTTTGATTCGAAGAAAAAAGGGCTCAGCTCAACTCTCCTCTCCCTCTCCTCCTCCTCCTCCCCTCTCTAGCTTTGTCTGGGAATTTCTCACAGACTTTTACTGAGATCTTATGTGAAAATTGATGAAAGATTCTAAAAATTCTGAAATTAGCAATATTTTGAATATTATTGTTTTTTATGTAATCTGCTGAAAGTTGATAATATGACAAAGATTTGCTCTATGTTGCTGAAAAGATTGAGATTGTATCTGCCTGGTTTTCCAGGAATTAGCTTTATTTGGCATAATATTGATAATATCTAATGTAATTTGCACAAATTAGATGTTGAAAGCTCCATAATTTTGCTACAATTTGCTCTATGCTGCTTGCGATGTGTATTTCTTGTATTTGCCTAAAATTTATTGCTTTTAGTTGTACTTGTGGTGTAATTCATAATTTTTACATCACATTTACACCACACCTGCCACTACTTTTGCGCCTATCGTCTTCGTCTGCTACCTTAGAAACTAACGATTTTCATATTGCGTATATAATTAAAAGAGATGCTACCATGAGAATCAGTTCTATGCTTCTCTTCTCCCACTTTTTAATAAGGAGCGGTAAGAACAGTAGCTTTCCGTCTTGCCATTATTTATGTATACCTACAGGGGACGGAGCTACCCTTCACCATTGACCAGGTTATCAGCCTAAGCCTGACCAGAAAGACTTTGAGCTTGCTTTGACTTTGGTTGCTTTACTTAGTAGGGGAGGAAAGTGACCCTTCAGAATATGGTCTACCTTACCCCGTCTCGGGCAGTTAAGTAAAAGAAAAAAATGAATTTTAACCCAATAATATGTTTGGTCTTTGTGAGAACTGGTCTCGCTTCGATGAATTTCGCACCTTGTGTTACACCTAAGCCCCATGAGAACCTGGGGCATGGATGCGCCTTTCATCCTAAATAAAACTGTAGTTAATTCTTTTTAGCTTAACCCCCTGACCTCAAGGCTCAAATGCCTATTATAATAGATTCTTACAACTAAAAACAAGCTTCCTATGTAACAGTTGTAACCAGATATATACAAGAATAGCAACATATCTAAGGAATAATAAAGAATCAACCAAGATCATCAGAGAATTTTCTAAGCTCAACAGTTAATAAAGGGTTCACAATTGGGAGTAATATGTATGCTTGACTAGTTAGCCAATAATTAGCAACACGAATTTAGTGACAAAATAAAATATGTAATATGTGCAACATACTTTGCCCTGCATGAGATTCTGCACCAGGTATGGACCCAAATCCACCATCTACATTCTTGCAACTTATAATGTATTTTACAGCCTTTTCCACATCGATTTTATCCAAACGATGCAATAGGGCGAGAGAACAAATTGCAATATAAGAAAACCTGAAGAAAGAATTCGTAGAATCATAATGGTATAGTCATAATGCTTCTTTAAGAGAGATGATAAGTTCACAAAACAAATAAGTATGCAAACCGATACAAAACACGGGACACAGTCATAGTAACAGATCAGTAGGGAGAGAGGAGGGATACCTTGTGTCAACTTCACCCCACATGTCCCCTGAAAAGGATCCATCTTCATTCTGCAGGCAACTTATATCTAGCTCTAAGATCAAGTTTAACAATAACCAACTTGAGGCACAAATTTCTGCCGTGAAAATAGACCTTTCATGCAGCAATCTAATTAGCTTAGCAACTCCTTACGAAAAACCCTTTTTGTGTTTATTTTTATGCCTTGTTCACAACAAGAAGTTTGCAAGTATTAAGGTATTAACCACTTCCAAACACAGAATGGTTCTGCAAGTTGACAAAGTAAGAGATCTATCATTTGGAATAGATATCTGAAGACACACATTGAAATATAAAAGATCAAACAAAAGGTTGAAAAGCTAAACAATGTTTTTTTTTTCTAAGAAACAAACCTTCTTTATTGCAACAAAATCATCAAAGAAGGGTACTTCAAAGAGGTTGGATAAGGAATCCAACCAAAATAAAACAAAAGATTCTCTCCATCCCATTTGAATAGAAAAAAGTGGAAGCCCTTTAAACTCCTTCGTGACTGAGGCCCAAAAAGACGATAAGAAGTGAATGCGAACCCAAAATCCTTCGAAGCAATCTTCTCAATCCTCGAAGATTCTTGCAATCTTTCCTTCCAAATGATCCAAAAAGAAGCTATTATAGCACAATTACAAAGAGTTTCTCCTTTACCAAAACTACCAAGGCCTTCAAATCTTCCACAGACAAAGATGTTGATAAAGCCAGAATCACCCATTTCATTCCCACCAATCTAAGTAGCTTATACCACAATGTCAAAGCAATGAGACAATGTAAAAATAAATGAAAAGCTAAAATAATGTCAAAGCCCCAAATTGCATGCTGAAGGATACAGTTTGACACCTTATCAATGTCAAGGACATCTATCTTGGCAAATAGTGCTAAAATTTGGACCGCACTGACGGTATACAGTATATGAGGGTCATGTCCGATGTTTCCACCAAATCCACCTGTACAAACATATATATCCGAATCAAAACACAGAGCAAATATATCCTAACACGATCCAATTCATAAGCATCTCAATGAGTGACAGCTTGATTTTCAACTCAATAGTCCACTGCAGAAGTCAGTCTTCAAAGAAACACAAAATATAGATGAACATCACCGTCACTGAGTTTACCCACACTAATATATACACAAGCAAAGAACGGTGTTTGGAATGAGATGAAACAAAGTATAACAGTCATAAACCAGATTCATGTTGGCACTGCATGACCCATGAAACAATTTCATCTCTGTCCACCATTTCAAGCTTCCCTAACATGTCAAGAGTGGTCAGTCCCCAATATGCCCCATTCATTCTTAAATGCTCCATCACCACAGATTCAAAATCATCCTTCCTCTGACAAAACGTACCAAGTTATATGGATATTTCCTTTTTCAAAATAAAACTTAAAAAACATAATCAGAAGAGATGAAAGGGATGTCTACCTTTTCAACTGATAAAACGTACTTAACATGCTTTTCAACTGCTAGTTCACCCATCCTGTAATTAATTGGGTACTTTAGTCTTGATATTATGTACCTGTCACAAAAAACAAATAAATAAATAAATAACAACAAAAGAAGAAAAACCAGACAACTAGGTTTTGGTTATTAAAATTTAGGATCTCTTATTGCAATATAATTGGGCACTTATAGATGGATAACTCAACCAAAAGAACATCAATCCATTCAAAAAATTATTCAAATCCATTCTCTTTAGCTAGACTATAACATCTAGGAATTCAGGGGGGCAAAAATAAAGCAATTATAAATAGGAAAAATTATACATTTTTGGTCCCTCCTCAAGTGCGCCATTTCATCCATATGTTTCAAATTTTTACATGCTCATTCACATGAAAAGGATAGCTTCATTCCAGTTAAGAAATCCCTAAGTCCTAATATACAATAAAATCCACAAATTTCAAAACATGAAAACAATCAAAATAAAATAACATTCATTGGGCAACAAATAGATTAAAATAGATACCAAGTGGGAAAGTTATAACTAAGTCCCAAGGAGGTTGATGGTTGCAGCCGATAGGCCACTATGGTGGTGCCAATAGACTAAATATACTAGTTCACGGATTTGGGTGGGGACGGTTCTATGGTTCGTGGGAGTGTGAAGGTGGAGGGTAGAGGTGTGGAGGTTGTGGCAATGCTATTAGAACCGGACTGGCTATCTAACGGATAAAGGGACCGGGTTAATCGTTCTTTGGTGCAACCGTGGTCAGACCAATCATATAATAAAAAAAATTATAAAACATAATATTTTAGCTAAAACAAAATCTCAATTCATAATCCCAATTCACAATCCATAATCACAATTCACAATCCCACAATCACAACTCAATTCACAATCTTAATTCCTAATATTTTGAATGAAATCAAATATTATCAGTTAATAATACAAAACATGAAGAAAAATGAAATATAATTGCTCAAAGATGAAACTTAGTTTCAGGTATTGTCAAATTCATATCAAAGATAAAGGCCGCATTTTAGTTGGACGGTTCATAGAACTTGTGTGACAGAGTAATCACTTTTATTCCCAGATGTAAGAATGTATAATTAATTAGATACACAAGATTCGATTTAGTTGTAGAATTATTTATTACATGCATTTTCTAAGGAATTCAAACATGCAAAAACAGAGTGAGAATCTGTGTGTGTGTGTTTGTGTGTGTGAGAGAGAGAGAGAGAGAGGGCTCCAGGAAGCACTTTTCGTTACAAAAGCAAGGAGAAGGGGACTCAGATCGATTGAGTGAGAGAGGAGACTTAGATTGACTGCTCGATCTGGAACAGAGGAGAACTAGAATCAACCAGATTCAACAGGAAGTCAAGTGGTCCAGATTCCAGAACAGTTCGTCGTTCATCGCCTGGAGCTGGTCGCCGGAGTTTTCGTTGACTGGGTGTGAAGACTGAAGTAAGAAAAGAGGATTTTTTTTTTTTTTAATATAATTTGAAATCCGTTTCAGCTGTTTTTATCAAAAAAATCGGTCGGTTCAGCGGTTTCCTTCCGGTTCTATTGCATATACGGGACCAACTCAAGAACCGGACCGGTTTAGGTCCCGGTCCATGGTCCAATCAGTCGCATTTGGATAACACTGGGCTATTGCATATATGTGGCTTAATATGAATCAACACTAAGTTTCAATATTTGATGGGGCCTACAGTCAATCCAACGGTCACAGTAAATTAGATCAGTAAATTAGGTCAAATTTTTAGATTCTAATAGCATTGCTCAATTATTAAAGTCAGTCTGAATATCAACCCAAGGGACCGGTTGATGATTGGATCAACAATTGGGTCACTAGTTGAACCGGTTATAGAATAAAAAATAAAAAATAATTCTTAACTAGTGTTATTAACATATTTTATATAATAATAGAACCCCCACAAAACAAAACAGATTAAATATGAGTATTCAAAATCACATTGTAAAAGCAGACATTTATCTGTTACTCATTCAAAAATACATAACTTTTTCTTGATAGGCAGAAACACAGACAAAAAATCCCAAGTTTAATAGAACACAATTCTACAAATTGAATGTTGAACTCCAAGTGCTAAACACATGAAGAATAGTTGAACAGTTAAAACCCACTAGCATTGGTCAATCACACATAAATGAATAACAAAATGAATGAAGAACAAAACCTTGCAATCTACATCCAAGCTTTCAATTTCAAAAGGGAAAAAAAATTCGTATACCAAAATTGAGAACTAAACAACTTAGATTGCAAGAACAGTTAAAAAAAAAACCCAATTGATTTCAACCACATAACAAACAAATCCAAATGAAAAAAAAATCATAAAATTGTTTCAAACCTTGTAATGTAACAAAATGAGAAAGATAAAGGTGAGACCGTGATAGAGATGAGAGAAACTTACCTATTGTGAGTACGAAGGAGAGATGAACTAAGATTACAGAAATTATGAAGAGAGTCAACAATTAGTTAGAGAATCTGAAACAAAATAGCAAAGATTGGACTGAACTCTTGTCACTAAAGTTTGGACTCCAGCACCAATGACCGTGAGTACAAGAGACAAGGATGAGATTGGAGATACGGAGAAGAGATTGGAGAGGCGTTGAGGCCTATAGTTATTAAAATCGGCTAGGATCTCAACCCAACAAAAAACTGGGTCAATAAGTTACTGATTCAATAGTTTCAGTACATAGTAATCAAAATCGAACCGAACGTCAACCTAGCATAGGGTCCGGGTTGATGAATTGCTGGTTCAACTGTTGAGTAATTGGTCAAAAAATAAACTCCAAAAGAGAAAAAATGTATACATCCGAACTAACCTTGTCAAGTCCAATATCTATTTGGCCATAAAACAATTGTTGTGATCATCAACAGTTTTTATTGATACCCAGTTCCTAGCATATTAATAAAAACTACAATCAAGTAAAAAGTAAAAACAACCCAAAACCAATAAGTGCAATATTATGATCCGTAATCAATAAGCATATTCAAAACTTTATTCAAAAATCAAAAAAAAAAAACGCGACCATTCAAATAGGTAAACTAACCCAGCTATCAAACCAAATTTAATTAAATTAACCTTGATCCTTTACCTCCTCATTGTGACGCTCCATCGGACACCATTCTCGAAACAACCACAAGCTTTGATTTGTTATTTGGACCAATACTAATTATGCCAATAATTAAAGCAAACAACATCATCAGGATTCACCACAGCCTAATCAATCACTACTCCTTCAACGACACTCCCGACATCGATTCAATGAATGTCACCAAATTAAGAGATTCAAACTCATCCAATAAAATAGATGCAGAGAATAAATATTGTAGCTAGTTAGAAAAATGTCCGTGCCTAAAGGCATTGTATAAAAAATTTGGGTCCAATAGTTTCCAAGAAATTTCAAAAAGTCACATCTAAGAATAGATTCCAAACCTATTACTAAATCACCCAACAAAAATCGTTATATTCGAAGACCCAATATAAAACCCCTTAAATCATTATTAAAAAATTCACAAACTCAATCCAACAAAATTACCGTTCCACTTTGTTTCTAGAGGACGTATGATTTAGTGAGGCAATTCGAGCAAAGTAGCTTTAATAGCTCTAGAGAAAAATTATGTGAGGTCTATTTTGTAATGCATCCCCTGCACAACCACACATAGATACAAAGAAAGCACACCTCGCTAAAAAATAAATGGACAAAGAATACCCAATTCATAACATACAAAAATCCAGAGTTCACAAAAACAAATATTCTTGTTAAATAACGGAAAACCCAATATAAAGATAGAAGTATTCATCTTAAACATCATCAAAAAAGAACAATGAAAAATACACACAGATAGAGATATAGGGAGAAGAAAATACAACCTAAATTTTCAACTACTAGAGATCCGACATTAGAAAAAAAAATTATGTAGTCAACATTCCCCAGTAAAACTCATCTTAAAGAACTTATAATACTGGGGGAAAAAAAGTTTGATTAAGTGAAAACTTTTGTCGAACAGGTGGTGTGTGTGCGTAAAGGAAGAGGGAGGGAATTTTTTAAGCAGATGTCGTTGAAAGAAAAAAAAACAGTTTCGAGTCCTTAGGTGTTTTGTAAGTTGTGTGTGAATGGGCATGCCAACTATACTATGATGTGTGCGTGTCTACTGTGCCCTGTGTGTGTTTGTGACGTGTGTGAGTGTGTGAAAGGGGTTGCTGGGGGTGGAAAACGGAGAGAGAGAGAAAGAGAAAAAAAAAACTTACAACGGCAAGAGAAGAGAGAAAATGTATGTCTGTGATTCGAACTGGAGTCGTAATAAGACGATGGTGATCGATTCAGGGCAAAATTTGCCCAATCATCTCAAAATTGAATCGGTCTGGTGTAGGGAGTTCGCCGGTTTAATATTGAACCGGTCGATCCGTCGCATTTTAATGATTAAACCAGAGGATCCGATCTGGACAACCGGTTTAATTATAAACTGGTCAGCTCGTCTCATTTTAATGATTAAATCGGCCAATCCGATCTGGTTCATAGTTTTATCATCAAACTGGTTGGTTCTCCCCATTTTTAATTATTAAACTGGACAATCTAATCCGGTTCATCAGTCTACCGTTAAACCTGTCTGTTAGTCTTATATTTTAATTATTAAACCAGGCAATTCGATCTGGTTCATCCCTTTTTAACCGGGCCAATCCTTTCACCATTTTGATGATTGAATTGACTGGTCTGATCCGGATGTCGAAAGCAATAAAAAATTAGTTGTTCTAAAAAAATTATGATGTTGACAAAGTAAAGAACATACTACCAATCAGAACATACTACCAATATTTTTTGAGTTTTTACGCTTTAATAGGGTGTCCCGGAGTCTAACTCCTAAAAAAAGGTAATGTGACCCAACCTAATGTATTAAAGGTATTACAAATTCTCTCACAACCTAAGAGGAACTATGTGCAAATCATTTTACATCGGTAGGCTATAAGAGGTTTTTTTATGAACTTTTTTTATTGGCTCTTTTTTGTATACCACTTATTTATGTATATTTTGTCTACAATTGATGTTCTTTTAGTGACATTGTATTTCTTGACAAGTATTAAATTGATATTTTTAGAAAATAAAATTATATAGCGAGTTTTAGGTTGCCCCCACTGAGAAAATGTTTTTGGCTCCGCCCTCCATATACTGTATATGGGAGTTGGATAAAACAGCTATAAAAACAATGCTCGAGTCCGTTTGATCATCCATGCCGGACGGAGAAGAGGAAGAAGATCATGTCTATGGTAACTGCAAATGTCATCCCAATCGCAAAGAGCATGGGAGATGATTGTGATTTGAGATTCGAGATCTGAGAGTGAGGGTGAGAGGAGCATTTGAAACTCTCGAGGTTCATTCTAGATTAGGGCTAAAAAAGTTTGGTTTTATGGAATTCAAGTGCCAATATGGTTTCACGGGTTACATAAGATCTGTCTAGTTTATGGGTTTGTTGAGGGATGAGTATTTAACCGATCCAATTAGAGAATCGACTTAGTTTGATCACCAGTTTTTTGGATTGACCCGTTGATCTGATTCAAATTTATTAACATTGTTGATCTCCAATTATCTATTTTATCATTAATAAATGAAAATATGACACCTATATTTTTTAATTAAATGCTTTAGTTATAAAGTTTATTCTACTACTATAATAAAGAGTTTTATTGAAATTGTTAAAAAAGTGATTCAAACAATTTTTTAATTCCAATTTAAGATAATAAGAGGCTAATGAGTTCCGACGGTGAGAAGCTACGTAAGGTTTTAAAAATTAAAAATTTATAAAAATTGGATCAAGAATTTGGAGCTCATATTGGACAACGACATATATTCTCAAAAAAAAAAACTTTAAAAAAACAAGATGAAATAATGTAGGGTTTGATATGGTGGCTAAGATTGGTAATTAATTGTAAACAAGATCCCACAAGCTCGACATGAAATTAATAGAAAATTTATGAGCTTGGGTTTAGTACGAGGGGGTCAAATGATAAAATGAAAGACCCATTAGACTTGTCAACTAAATGGGTTGTCACAAATCTGACAAAATACGACATAAACTCACTAATTATGATAAGTTTACACGTAACACAAATCTAATATGAAATAACAGTATGTTATGCTGACCAAAATTAGGGACTAAATAAAAAGCTCAAATGATAATGTAGTTGCTGATATGACAAGATTAACTGTCATGTTATTTTTATCTTTTTGTCTCCCCTCCTTCTTTAACACGCACAGACCAAAAAATAGAGAAAATAAATAACATAACATATAATCTTGTCATATCAGCTACTGTTATGTCATTTGAGTTCTTTATTTGGTCCCTAATTTTGGTCAACATAGCATTACTGATGAAATAATCCTAGCTATACATGAATATACATGGGTCAAATTCAATTGAGTAAATATTAATATCATACG